GCCTGCAGAACAGCCTACAAGACACCAATTGGGACCACTCCCTATAACTTGGTATACGGTAAGTCCTGTTTACTTGCCAGTTGAGCTGGAATATAAGGCAGTATGGGCTGTGAAGCTGCTCAACTTCGACATCAAATCTGCAGCTGAGAGACACTCCATATAAATCCACGAGCTCGATGAGATAAGGCATCTTGCCTACGAGAGTTCAAAGATTTACAAGGAGAGAACCAAAGCCTATCATGACAAGAGGATCATCAACAGGAACTTCCAGCCACAAGATCAGGTGCTCCTGTTCAATTCCAGGCTCCGACTGTTCCCTGGAAAGCTGAGATCAAGATGGTCTGGTCCATTCACCATTAAGAAGGTCCGCCCCCAGGGAACGGTTGTGTTGTTCGACTCAAAAGGAGAAGAATTTATTGTCAATGGTCAACGATTGAAACCATACCTTGTTGAGACAACAATCGCAGACGGAGAAGAAATTCCCCTAAGCGATCCTTCTCCAGCCTAACCAGCTAACAAAGTCAAGCTAGTGACTTAAACCAAGTGCTTGGTGGGAGGTAACCCATTGGTAAGTGTATATACTTCTTTACGATTTTCTTTTATTTGTGTTTCTTTTCATGTTTTGCAGAATAAAAACCAGAAAATCCGAGTTCCTTGAACAAGACCAGTTCCAGACTGTTCCCGGTTCGAAGCAGCCACTCGGCTCAGGAAAGTCTCTCAGAACAAAAAAAAACAAAAATTTAAAAAAAAAAAAAAAGAGAGAGAGGGAAATTCAATAAATGAGGCGGAAAAACCCTAATTTCCTTATTAGGACACGAAGTGGGTTCTATTTAAAGGCCACTCACCCACTCTTTTTCCACTTAGCCGAAATCGCCTCCTCATTTATCCCTCTCCGCTTCCATCTTTCTAAACCTAAAAATCTTCATCCTCTTCATACCTTTTTGAGATTTTTTCGGTTTTCACTTGCTTCAACTTCAAGTTCTAAGTCATTTGCAGGGCTATCACATCACGACTTCAATGATGGGTCCCAAACGAACTAAGATGGCCGCCAAAAGCAAGCCCAAGTATGCTCAAGGGGAACCAAGCGACGACTTAGTCGCTCCGACTTACCCATGGCCGCGTGAGGAAGGAACTGAGATATCCCTCAACGATCCGAACATCCCTGAATCTTCTGAGGACCGTTGGGATAAGGAAGCTTCGCGTTGTTACAACGCTTTGCTCACAAGTCACATCCTCCCAACCTGATTCGTCAATGCCAGAGCCTTTAGCAACCTCAGGCTCTATGAGGATTTGCATGGGGTGCTTCATGTGTTAGGAATATCTGAGCTTTGCTATGTCGCGCAACCGTTGTACCCGGATCTGGTGAGGCAAGTCCTTGCCACTGCAGAGTTCACATTCCAAAAGCCAGACTTCCCTACCTTCGAGGAGGCTTATTTTACATTCTTTGCAAGCGGAGTCAAGTACTCCATCTCTTTGGAGAAGATCGCTGAGATCTTTGAGATGTGTGAGGACCTCAATGGGATCGCTTTCCCAAAGAAGTTTAACCCGGAGCAAGCGTTCTGGAATTTCATCGCCTCAGGCAAATTCAAATCGCGATCAGCCAACCAGTCTCACATCCGCAACCCCGTGTTGAGGATCGCTGCGAAGGTCCTAAGCATCCTGCTCTTCTCCAAGGATCAGACTTCAAAAGTGCACAAAGGGGAGCTACAAATTCTTTTTCCAGGAGTAGCAGACGAGCTTACAACTGCTAATGTGGGGATTTTGATATCCCCAATGACAACTAACCCAGCGTGTGTGCTTGTTCAGATGTTCGTTGACAAGAGAGCAAGGATGCTGAAGGGCACACTAAAGAAGGATCGGTCAGGGAGTATGCTTACTCCATTAATCCACCATGTGGAGCTCGATCTGAGCACTTACAAGTGAAACAACACCCCGGAGTACATCGACATCCCTTACCTGATCAATTGTCAAATCTTAGCCGACGAAACCACCTACAGCTTCCTTGATAGGAACGTGAACAACCTCTTCTGCAAGCTGCCACAACCGAGCATCACTACACTCTCCGATGTGGTGAACATCAGCTTTGTTCTTGACCTTAAGCATCTCTGTACCGATCTCAGGGCTTCTTCCCAATATGTCAATATGGAGGATGTTGAGTTCATGGGAACAACAGAGGGGAGTGATGTGTATGACCTCGACCCTATTGATGACAACGCAGATGATGCTACCTACCGACGCTGGATGGTAGATTCTCAATGAAAGAACAATGGCCTCCTGAAAAGGATTCTGAAGGCACTTACTAGACGATGCGTGGGAGCTCTAAGCACACTTTCATGGCACTTACTAGATGTTTCCTTGGCAACTTATGTATTAGAAATGAAACCACATGATCACCATGAGCTTAACTCACTTATGTGATGTCTTGATATGCTAACTGTGGGATTGACAATTCTCAAAATTAAATGATGAGTTTCATTTGCCTAAATCCCATCCTCAAGGGTTAATCACCAATTCGCACGTTGGGTTGTTGCATACGTTGTAGGTTAATAAAGATGTGGGTCCAGGATAATAGCATCCTCAGTGAAATTGATATTTAAGATTCTTACATGGCAACCCTTACAAAAGTTTTTGTTACATCCAAAACAAACTTGATAAACTATTTTCTTAGCTTCGTATTTTTAAGTGATGAATTAACCCTTTGTATGTTTTATGTTTGGGTTGGTGAATCAGTTTACCACTACACATGTAGTTCATGTCAGTTTTTTTCTCAGAACAATTATTGGACTGTCTGAACATAGCATCTGAGCATGAAGCTGTTCAGTTAGCACACATAGTATAAGCTTCGATGTACACATGGAGACGCTAATCCTAGTAACGGTAAGAACCATGAACATGGTTAAAGATCTTACGTCAAACACAAAGCGAACATAGAAGAGATATGTTATGGCTGAGAGGGAGTATCGACTCTGCTCTTCAGTTTGAAACAAGGTTACCCAGAACTATGCTACATCTATTTTTTTTCCTCCAGTATTTGTGCTTAAGTTTTCCACATTTGTCTACTTATTTTCGTTCTCATTACTTTAACTAAGTTCTGTTTCTTTTGCTTTTTCCCCTAGTTTTTTTTTTCGGTCCAGCCTGCAACAGTTTTTTCTTTCTTTTTTAATTAGTAATGGGAGGGACAATGACCTTCAAGGTTATGCTTCTGCGAACATGAACCTATGAGAGAAAGTTTTTATCGCAAAAATTACAACCATATGGGTAGCTCTCAATACATACAATGAGGAAGTGGCAGATAAATTGAAAGTGCTTGGATTTTTAATGGACTCCGTATCTTATATGTAGCTGATGAAACAAAACTATATAAAGAACTTAAAAGCCAAGAACACAAGTTCTACCGTAAGCCTTCTAACTTATATAACCTAATGTAGTATAATTCCTATGGGTTGCTCTCCTTTTCTGCAGCTAAAATAAAAGATAGAGAAATCAACAACAGAGTTGGTCAAATTAAATTCTTTATGCGAACCATATTAGCGGGGCTTTAGAAGAATCACAATGAAGATGAGCATTGGGGAAAAATACTCTGGTATGATAATTCTTCAGGGTTCCAGGCAGGACACCGGCCTCTAGGTCCCTGCCGAGAAGGATTCAGGTTCCAGCCTTTGTTTCCGTCCCGGCTTCCAAATAAATGGAAGTTTTCTACTAAAGGGGATTCTTTTATATTTCCGAATATAGAAGAGTTAAACCTAGCTCGACCGATCTCCTCAAGATTATATAAGGAGAGCCCATACTTTAGAACAAGGGATCAACTTTTAAAGGCTTAGAGACTACAGTTAGGTGGTTAGAACTAGGGTTCATACACCAACCGTTGTAGTTCCTACTCGAATAATCAATAATTCGTGTCTTTGTATCAATATCTCTCAATCTTTTATATTTCTTATCGCTTCTTATATTATTCCGACCTGGTTCTTGGTATGTGCCACCAGATCCATTATTGGATTCTCCTCATTCCTTATCCAATCTCTACAAGATTGGTTTACACAAATTTCAATTTCGTATATGTTTCATTTCTTAGGTAAGAGTCAAAATAGAATAATTTATCTATTAAATGTCTTGGTTTTAAAAAATTGAATTCTGTATAATAAAAGGGTTAATACATCCTTTTAAAAATCAAGAATATTGTATAATACAAAATTTAGAGTATTGATGATTTGTAAAATTTATTGTTTTGATTAACCACTTCCAAAACATAAGATCACTTATTACAAAGTCTTAGCAAACCAAAAAATAAATGTGAGACATATTTAAGAGACATATTTAATATTTAATAGATGAATTATTCTATTTTACATGCATATATTTTAAAAATTATTTACTATTTCATTTCTCTTAAGATCATAATCAATGATGAACAAAATTAATCATAAAACTAATATTTTTTTAATTTTGATAAATATTGATAATAAATTGTGATAAATTCACTAAAATACATATTAATGTGTGATATGAAATTTTAAAATATCTAAATAATATATATAAAATATATACAAATCCGGTGCATAGCGGCCGAAACCCATGAATAAAGTCAAAATGAAACGAGAATATGAATATTGCTAAGGAAAAGGTTTTTCTTTTTATGTGGGGAATAAGTTATTTACATATCAGTAACCATATATGGTAAAGTTTAAAAATAAATATATATACTGCTTTTTAGAGATCGAGAAGAATTAGATTGTCGTCCAAATTAATTATGACTTTTATGTCTTTTTGAAGACCCAAAGCTAAACAAAAATGCAGACCTGATTTGCAAATTAAGTTTCAATGCATTGGCCTTATAACAGTGCAAAGGATACCCTAACTTCCCCATGTTTCTTTTGTATTACTTTGTACGGAAGCTGTCTATATTATTCATTTCTTGATGCTTAAGTAACATGCAATCAGTTTCCGTATAAATTTCAGAGCAAGGCTTTCTTACCAAAACACAAGCTGCTTCTTCTTCTCCAATGGATAACCAAAACGAAGAGCATGAGCAACCTCCAAACAAACTTCCCGATCTAACTCTCTTCCAGCAAGCAAATTCTGAAATTGCTCTTGCTGCCTCACAAGCCAATTCCCATTTTGTCCCTCCTGTTAATGACTTGGCCTCCTCAAGGCTATCAATGATAGAGAGTGACGAAGACTCTGAAGATGAAGACGAAGAAGGAAGCAATGACAGCTACTACGAGGGTTTCGATAATAATGGATTTGGAGAAGATGAAATTGATGACTTTCTTGAGGACCAAGAAAGCAGCTTCAACCTAGAGGAGGATGATTTCATGGAGGAAGAAGATGAGATTGACCCCGACCAGTTATCTTACGAGGAACTTATTGCCCTTGGCGAATTCATCGGAGTTGAAAAACGTGGCCTCACACAGACAGAAATCCACGTGTTTGAAGGCATCTAGCTACGTATTTTCTCATAACAAAAACGAGATTGATCGTTGTGTGGTTTGCCAAATGGAGTTTGAAGAAGAGGAAGCTTTGGTCGTTCTACGACTTTGTAACCACCCATACCACTCTGAATGTATATCCAAATGGCTTCAGACAAAGAAGATTTGTCCAATTTGCTGCTCTGAACCTTCTTGCGGCTAAAATATCGGAAATATTCAATCATCTATTAAAATCATTACATGTAGACTTCGGTGATTCATTCGTCACAAAAAAAAATAAAAACAAAACTCGAAAAGGCCATATTTGTACCAGTCACATAATCATACAAGCTTTTTGAGATTATATCATATATTTCACAGTTTGTACTATGACCTTTGTTAATGTTTTATATATTTAATATTTAGTTATATTTATCCATTCTATTAATTCTAACTGCGACCCAAACAATTTAAACCTACCTACAACTTGTAATTTCGATCTTCACTTAACACGACATTATTTTCCATGGTAGATAATTTATATGCTTGAAAATTTTATTGGATTTTAAATGCTTTTAATTGAAAGATAAAATCAACTTCTTCTCCAAACATTTTTTTTTCATAGAATAGTTAACTTCACTTCCATCAATCTCACTGAATATTTTATTTTCATTCTCATGAAAAGTGGAGCTTTCACCTTCAATTAGAGATTTAAATGCGTATGATTATCTTTAGAATCATGAAATTTAAAGGTTGAATTGGATGACCTTTTACGAGTTCCTCAATATATTTTTTGTTTCTCCATCCTGGTCATTTAACTTCTCAGTACCTTTTAGAAGAATGCCTAGTTTGCTAGATGATGGATGGCAAGTTTCACTTCACTTCATACCCGGTCCGAAAAACTGATCTAGTATAATTTAACTCCAAAAAAGATAAGGAGCCCACAGAGCAGGCCCGCCCCTGCTCTTAAATAAAATAGAAATTTTTTTCCCAAAAGCTATAGTTATATTTCTTTAAATTTACAAATTAAGACCCTAATTTATGTGTTCTTTAACAATCTAGGACGCTAATTCTTATAAGAAATTTTCCAGAAAACTGAAGGACTCTGTGCTTATGCACCTTGAGCACTCCCCAAGAACCAGCAGTGCCACAGAGATCCAAGTAAATCCCGAGTTCAAGAGTCAGCCCACTGACATAATCAAATCATAGTGTAACGGAGGTAAAAGCACATGATACTTGCCGGAGATTACATTTCTGTAAGATCTATAAAAGAAAGACCAATGACAAGAAGAAGGAGTACCCTGAATTCTTTCTTAGCTAATCTATATTTAGAATACCTTTGTACTCCTTTGTTAACAGATATGGGATGTATCAATAAAATATACACTTTTCACAAAATCATCAATCTACATACTTTTCTTAAAGTTCTTCTTATACACGTTATTAAAACCCTAAACCTTAATTCTGAGTAAATTTTGAGATCCATCATTTGGCTCTAGAAAGGAAAGGGATTCATAAACAAAATATTGAGTGAATTATTGCATATTCGACAAGTGCAAAACATCTTACCGTTTTTCTGCATGAGCGGTATGGAATCTGCTTGATGCATAAATGTCTCCAGCCCTTCGAGATATTATTCTGTCACTCTCTCGTTATCATCCATGTGTATACATCCAACTCTGCAACTCGAAAATATTTTCATTACCGGATATTTTTTTTCTTTCACGTTTTCAATTTCTTCTCTTTTACGTTTTAAATTTGTTTGGGTGTGTTTCATTTGAAACTCAAACAATATATTTATAGGAAAAATTCAAATTGGTAGGTGACATTTACCAGAAATTTACAAGGAAAATTGGTAGGTATACGCCCAACAACAATTACATTTACAACTAAAAAATAGTTAGCCTCGTTCTTTCCTCGCTAAATGGTTTCCAGGTAAAATACACGTAACATTAGCGAGTAAAATGCAGCCTGCCACGTAATATACTCGCTAAATAACGTCTTTTTTTACAAAGAAGCCTGTTTCTCGTTTATTCATGAATCTATGAGGATTCACAATTTCCTCGTAATTTCCTCGTACAAAACACGTAATCTTACGAGGACCCATTTTCCTCGTACAAAACACGTAATTTTACAAGGACGCATTTTCCTCGTTAAATTTTGTAGTTAAAAAATTATTTCCTTGTAATGAAAAAAAAATAACATAGTTCCATGAACCTTATACAATAAAAACTCTATAATTTAATAATGTTGGGACTATAATATTTTATTAATTTATAGAGCTATTAATTTTTTAAAAAAAAATCATTTTTGTTTTATTTTATTTTAAAATATTTTTTTTATAAAATATGAAAAATATTTGATTTTGTGTATATACATTAATTATTATTTTTAATTCAATATTCATATTGGTTTTATTATATTATTTGATGTATATAAAATATGCTTCATAGAATTTAAATGTGATTTTAAATATAATTTTACTAAAGCTCATCAAAATATATAAGTGTTAAGAAAATAGAAATATAGTTATATTATAAATACTAGAAAAACAAACCATTATTTATATAAAATATATATACATATAAATTATTTATTTTATATTTTTAATGGGACCATATAGTTACATAAAAGTTTTTATAAATTTATAATCTTATTATATATCGATTTGGGTCATATTTTAAACTGATCTAACTTAGGACCAAGTTTTTAATTAATTTATAGTATTTATTAATTTATCGAGTATTAATTTATAAAGTTTCTACTGTACTTTTTAATAAAGTGAACTACGAAAAGGCTTGATCCCTCTCAAGAAGATATGTAGGCAAGCCATTTAGGAACAATTGTTAATAAAATAAAAATTATTTTTATCATGAACGAAGTCCTTAGCTCTATCTATTCACGAGCTCCTTAACTCTATTGACGAGGTCCTATGCTCCATTTTTTCAATGAACTCCTGTGATTTGCTTAAGATCACACACTAAATTATTTAGTCCTTCCTATTTTACGAGCTCCCATGCTCACCGAGCTCTTTAGCTCCATTCATTCACAAACCCCTATAATTTGATTGTTTAATGAGAAGGAAGGGATAGTGAAGTTATAGGAGGATACAAGAGATTACATTTTGTATAAGAGCGTATCAGTTCTTGTCTCGCGGATATGTTCCAGAACTAGGGTCATCTTTAAAAGAATCACATAAGGTCAAGTGATAAGGAAATATTAAGGCTCCAATCTATAAATCTTTCTAAGCCGTGGCACAAGTTTAAAATTTGAATGATATTAGTAATGAGTGTAATTCATACCCAAAACCTAACTTAAAAGTTAAGGATTGCCACATCACATATATATTGTCCAATAATCATCAACATAAGCGATATGGAACTCTAATAGCTGTTCTCGAGATGTGGATAGGAAAAGATCCAATAGAAACAGCAAAAGTGATATACCATGGATTTTATCTATTATTAGCCATGCTATATAAGTTTTTAGGATATATTACTATGATATAGAATCTATTCAGAGTGCTTATAGGTTCAGAGATGTTTTGGAGGAAAGTGGTGATTTTGGTGCCTTTTGGAGCTTCAGATGGAGACTTTTCCATGGTGAGATTGAGTCCATCTTTTGACCCAGGCTATAGCTTTGACTTAGCTTTCCAATTCCACCGATTTGAAATCAATCCAACGATTAGATCAGAAGTTATGCATGCTTTACTGAAAAGTGGTTAGTCTGCCTCGCGAGAGGTAGCTGTTGAGGAGATGAAGGAATGTCAATCAACGGCACAGCCTTGGTGTTGATCGATGGTGATCCCGGAATTTGGGCCGAGTATATTTCATGACTGACTTAAGCCCAGAAACCAACACAAATTACCAAGACACACATGAATGACTCTAAACCCTATTTATGTATTTCTATACCATTGTTGACGGCTATAAGCTTTTCTATTGTTCTTTCTTAGCCTTAGGGTTGGAGAAAATAGATGAACTCCATTAGAGTCCTATTGGAACTGCATTGGTTTTGGTTCTATTTATATTTTTTTTGTTATTCATCTATTCATCTATGTTATGTGACAAATTTCATGTCTGAATATATCCAGGTTTAGGATTCAAATAGATTATGGATTAGCCTCAAATATATAATTTCTACGTTGTGATATTCATCAATAGGATTTTTCTTACGGTTGTGCTAGAGTCACGAATTAGAACCCTGATCTTAGAATAATTAGGCACAATGCGACCGCTTGGTCTGTTATCTAATAGATCCTTATTATGCTAGGATTGTTAGAAACATGGGACAACTGATATAGAAACCCTAGTGAGTAGTTAATAAACCCGCGCATAAAGCTTGGCTGGGAGCCGATCGATTGATATTCATATTGAATAATCGATCGACGTTTTCGGAAGGTGTATTGATCGATACGCCTATAGAGTCATCGATCGACGCTTTCTATTGGCCAACATGCGACATCTGAGACCATAGATCTAGTCAATAGACTTGTCTAAACATGCCACAACTGATAGATTTGTACCTTAGTTGAGCTCTAATATATCCTCCAAGCAACCTTAGCATTTATATCTCTATAATCCTGATTACCTGAATAGAAACCCTAAGTCTAGCAACCAACCTTCCATCAAACTACTCATCAATCAAATCGAGAAAATACCTTGCTCACCTTGTTTAGTTTATTTATTTATTTGCCTAGCTTAATCACATAACTATTAGGTCTATTGTGTGCCCTATCTCTATGGATATGATCCCTAAGTACTACAATTAAACCTCTTATTTGAGGGAGTAAAGTCACTCCTTAGGGCAATTTGAGTGATATCACTCAGCCTAACATCTTTGAAGGCTACTTATGTAAGAAAATGTTTATGTGGAAAATCATATACTTGGCTTTTACCTTGGACTCTGATACCATATTAGTAATGAGTCTAATTCATACTAAAAAGTTAACTCAAGAGTTGGGGATTATCACATCATGTATATATTTCCCAAGAATCATTAACATAAGCGATGTGAGACTCTAATAGTCTCTCTCA